ATCATATTCTGCACATTTTCAGCTAGTTTGCTTTAAAATTTAGACACCTACTTCTCTTATAATAAAAAAAAAATTTTTGTATGTGTTTCGCCAAACTAAAATTGTATATAGGAGTACTGATGCTGGAAATACTTTACTGTAACTGTACAGGCTATTTTTTTTTTTTAGAACAGTGTTTTAAATTGCATGTTCAAGAGGTTTTATAAGATATGTAGCTTCATAGAATTAAGAAATTAATTAACTGCGTTCAGAAGCAGTAGTGGGGAGTTTTAATGGGTTTTGGTGCTGCCTCCTCCCCAGACTGGAACTACGAGGAGTAGGTGTGAGTGAGGGTGGTGTTGGCGAGTCTGTGCCAGTGTGAGTCTGTGCCAGTGTGACCGTGACCACCACACATCTCCTTCCCTCTGCAGCCACCTCCCTCCAGTGGCAGCTGGTACAGCTGTGTACCCTGCACGGCCCGTGTCCTGCCTCCCCAGCTCCCGCCCTTTGTGGCCGCCACCGCCTGCTCAGTCCTGACCATCGCCAACCATGGAAGGTTATCTCATTGACCAACGCCGAGCGCCTAGAATTCTTTACATTTATTTCTACTCCTACATCCTCCCTTCTGTTCAGGCTACCAGGTCTTAACAAAATGAGATTTAAAAAAAACTCATTGCTCTCTTCATTATGGGACCATCCCTTAGTGACTCCCAAGCCCACAGGAATTTACAGATGGCCTGGCACATGAGAAAGTGGTCAGTAAAAAGTCTTTTGGAATGAAAAAGACATCGTTTTGATCCCAGCATAGTTCTAAGATGTACATCCCTTTCCCACCACACTGCAAATTCCTTTGGGCAAGGACTGGCTTTCCCACGTTAACACGTTGTACCATGGTGGACGAATGCTACTGTTCTGGATCCATCATGCAGAGGACGGTCAAGGTCTCAATCACCAGCTCTAGAGCCTGCTTGCTGGTGGCATGGGGGATCTACCCTCTGCCTTTGGTGAAGTGACTAAACTAGGACCCCCAGGCGTGAGTGAGGAAGCCCACCTTATCAGTGACTACCCCCTGTGCCCACTGCCACTCTTTGCCTGTCCCTCCCTGCCTGCTCATATCTTCTTCCTTCCAGCTCATTGTGGATTAAAAGGAAAACCTCTGGGGTCACTTTGGCATAGTGGCTTCTCACCTATGCACAGTGCACTGTAAGTAGGACCCATTTGGAATACAGGATTTATTCACTTTAATTTACATAGACGAATTCATACAGTTCATTGTTTAACTTTTACAAAATCAATATTTGACTTTCTAATTCTGCTGTCCTCAAACCCTTCAGCTGAAGCATCCTTCACGTCCTAACTGGCTCGCCACAGCCATGGCTTGGCACACCGCTTCCACTCATTCCTGAAGGTATTTAAAATTTAGATCTTGTCACTCTGACTCTGCAGGTATCTGGTAAGGAATAGAGTTTACTGAAAGCTGACTGTAACATTTCAGTAGCTTTCGCAAAGTATCTCCCTTGTAGTTACTACCATGAGTGGTCATTCATTCATTCAACAGCTTTCATTCAGATTCACTGCTTCACTTGGCTCTAGCAAGTCTATTTCTCTGGAGGTTTTTGTGCTGATTCAGGCAGGCTTGAGCCACCTCTGAAAAGCAAGCATGCACCGGCTTTCACCTATTGTTCCATCATTAAAAGTAAGAATTGGGCCTGTACCCCATAGTACACTGGGTAGCCTGGAGGCATTCTTAGCTCAGCATATATTTGGCACCAGCAAAGGCTGAAATTGACCTTAGCACCATCTCATTTTTACTGCCATTGACTTCTAAGAGGAAAGTTTGCATAGAACCGTTCACAAGAAATTAGTGAAAATAATTTCGGTTGCAACCCTCACATAAATACCTTGTCATGCTTCTTTGTATCGTTTTTGCTGGTTCCCTACACAGGCCACCAATGACTAGTTAATTGTGACCATGTTGCAATAATAACTGCTAACATTTATTAGGCAACTGTTGGGGTTCAGAAAACAGCACCCCAAAATGAAAGCCTCAGAAGCAAACATTTTTCTCTGAACTTCTCCTGCCCTCCTGTCTCCGGCCCCTCACTGTCCCCTGGGGCTAGCCATAGAAACTAGAATCCCTCTTCCCCAAGGCAGGTAGGTCATAGAAACCAGAAGCTGTTTTTTCCCCCAAAGCCAGCCATAAAACCTAAAACTATTATTCTAACTTTCCCTCTGCCCTATCTGTGTAAAAACTGGGCATGAAGACATGATCTGATCTACCTTGTTTGACTGTAGGTCAGTAAGATCCCCATTCCATGGAGGGTCTGCCCCATACCCGGAAGGAAGAAATACATGCTCAGAACGGTGGAGAAGAACCTAGAGCAGGACGGCTGAGACATGGACCCTTTCCTGTCAGCTCCCTGCCTTCGCCCACGCCCCGCGCCAGCACAGGGGGACATAAACTGAGTTGCTGCGGTGGCAGAGACGGAGGCTGTACGTGCGTGGCCCACTGAGGCTGGTCTTGCGACTGCTGCTGTGCAATGTCCACACTGACAGCTGGAAGGAGCTGGTGGCCCAGACAGACAGGCTTCGCTGGGTCTCCTCACTCAGTCTGTGAGCATTACATCACGCCCTCTTTGTCCATTCATATTTCTACACAGCTGCCCGTACTTTGTGGAACCTAAGCATAACAATGGACACTGTTTCCTGTATCTTTGGGTTTTCCTTCTGAAAGCTCCTGTGTATACACGTTAAATACGTCTGTAGGCCTTCTCTCCAATTAATCTTCCTTCTGCGAGTTGATTTTTCAGCGAACCTTCAGAGGACCAAGGGAACTCGGCCTGTGGCCACTACGCAATTACGATTTGTCAAACCCTGTGTTCAGTATTGCAAATATTCTTTCGGTTAGTCCTCACAAAGGTTAGCACCTGCACTTTCCAATTGTGGAAATGAAGTGCTGCCGTTTGCACCCAGGACTCACATTCAGGGCTGGGGAGCAAGGCCATTGCTGCGCTGTGCTTCCTTCCAACATTGCCAGTGTCCCTTACACAACCTTGGCCGCGCACCAATGGCTTCCTGCTCTCCTTTGAAGACACTGCTAAAGAAGCACCTACTGTGTTTGCCCGAAAATAAGACCTACCCATAAAATAAGCCCTAGCAGGATTTCTAAGCATTTGCACAATATAAGCCCTACCCCCAAAATAAGACCTAGTGATGGGCGTGGCTACGCAGCATATCTGCACAACCCATGCATTTTGTCGCAGAGCAGGTAAAGAAGACGAGCAGCCCTTCTCATCTGCCCCATGAGAGCTCTATTGCTCATGAGAGATTGGGGCCAAATGGTTCTAAAGGAAATAGAGTCGCAAGAAATTCAGGATGGAATTCGGGGTTTGGAGTTATGATGATGTTCCAGAAGAAGACGACTTAACTATATTTGAATAAATGTAGATTGTTGTACCGTACTTAAAAATAATAACACATCCCCTGAAAATAAGCCCTAGGGTGTCTTCTTGAGGAAAATAAATATAAGACCCTGTCTTATTTTTGGGGATACATGGTACATGGAGAAGCCTGTCCCCACAGCTGAACACCTAACTTGGCTCCTTACACTGACTGTGTGTTGCTGGTTGGGTCCTTAAGTAGTGTCAGCTCCCTGAGGGAGGAAGGAAGGGAGGGGACTGGGCTCTCCCCTCCCTTATGCTTTCCAAGTTGTCCCCATGTACTTCCTGTTATCTTTATTAACTGGCTAAAGAAATTCACCTCCTGATCCTACCTGGCAAGGACCCTCTGGTTCCTTCTCAGTTCTGAGGCGGTTTTCCGGGGAAGAGGCAATATCTCCCTAGCATTTAGAAGGTCTTTGATGTCTTAGGGGGTCCAGTGGGCTTACTTAGTGCCTCCTGTTCAGAAGTAAGTACTGCAGGCTCTATGCCTGCGGAGCCTTCGGTCTTTTTAACGATCCTGTTTACTAAGGTACTGAGGCAATTTTCTTAAAGTTGCTGAAAGCCCTGCTCAGTCAAAGATAAATGTCTCCCACTGAGCCTTTTGGTTTGCGTTTTGCCCAAGGCCCTTTCCCTGGGCTTTCATTGTTAGTCCACGGAGACCTAGAGAGGGTGTTAAAGATTCACTTCACTAATTCATAGCCAATTAGGAAGCTTTGTTTTGAGTCTGACTGGGAGGTAGCTTTGGCAGTAAGTCTGGAGCCCTCCTCCCCTTGCCCTCCAGGGAATAAAAAGCTTCCTTCAATTGGTTAGCAAACAGAATTTTGAAACTAATGGTGAAAACAGTTCCCAATTTGGGTGTAGCTGGTTACAATGGTACTCACACTCTGCTTTATTATCAGAACAGATGTTTGCTTTCTGTTGTGTAGCTTTGGGCTAAGCCCCCTATCTGTAAGAGTTTTCTCCAAGTTTAAGTCTTCTTTGCTTTAATCTGCACGTGGAAGCTAAGCTATACAACACAACTAGGAAGCAAAATGATTTTCTTCTTTCTTTGGTGATGGCGAAGTGACTTTCTCCAAGTTTGAATTTTGTATCTAATGATTATTTTTCTTTCCTTGGGATACTGTCTCAGTTTCATGCTGAATTATGTGGAGAAGAGGCTATTCTGATAGTTAACTGTGATTGAAAGCTTTCTTAGGTAGGAGCCCTCCAGGCTGTGGCAGAGCACTGAGAAAGTGTTTTTGAATTCTAGCAGAATGTAAATGAGCTTGGCTGTGGGCTACATTAAAAAAAAATCGCCTAAACACAGCAGAAGTTTTGTTCTGAAGGGAAATTAAAACTTTCAGATTGTGAAGCAAGAGGTGTGCTTGTTCTTTGCTTCTTTTGTTTATTTATTTTTTGATGCAGGAAAACTTTAACCTGCATGTCTTAGGACTCTACTTTTCTAAGAATATGATCTGTAGCTTCCATTATCTTATCAAGTGTGATTTTAGCTTGGTTTTTGGGGCCTAAAGGTCTGTGTGCTTAAAGACAAAACAAAATGAACACAAAATTCCCACAACTCTCTGGGTTGGATTCTCTTACCTGGTTCAACGTTGAGAGAGTAGCTGTCTATTTTCAGATGGAGTTGTTGGGCTGCAGCAGAACGAAAATCCTCCAAGACCCCGTGCACTGCCTGGGTGAGGTTATACGGCACCGACTTAGCAAACCTCATTTTGCTATTCACAATCACACTCCCATTTCTGAAGTTAAGTATTTCGAGTTGCTTAAATCCTGTCAGATTGGATCGTAGATATGGAACCAGCTGCAAAATAAAAGATGGTTTGCTCTTAGTTGTGTTCTAAGTGCTCAGCTGCTCCTAATTCTATTTCTATTCACTTTTCATTATCTGAGGCATAAATTTCAGTTCCTTTTTATTGTTTATGTTTTTGTTTTGGGATTTAATGTGAGACCAGAACACCACTACTTAATGATCTATTTGCAGTAATTATGTTCCACATTTCCACCTTTCTATCTGTGTATTGAGATGGATGGGCAGTGATTTTCCTCATGATGAATTGTGAGAATAGATGACTTTTTAAAAATCCAGGCCAATGCTATCAGCAAAGCTGGAATGCTAGGCTCAGTTAGTTATTAAAAAAAAAAAAAATCCAAGTAAATAGAACCACAGTCCAAAATAAGCCCAGGAGCAGACTGACCTACGTCTGTGTAAATGGGACATCTATTTGGAAGCAACCAATTTCAAATGATCTGTTGAAACAAACAGAAGCTTAAACATCAGGATGTCTGTCTATGCAGTAAATGTCTCATAGTCAACATAAATGTCATGCAGTGGAAATAGCAGGAAACTGGCAGCCAGGAGACTTGGGTGCCAGTCCTGGAACTGTCTCCAACTAGCTGTGTGACCTTCATCAAGTCACGCAATCACTCCTCTGTGTTGTACCTCTATGCCCTTATCTGAACTGTGAGGGAGAACAGAAAGTGGTTCCATAGTGACCCCTTTCCAAACTAAAGTTTAATAATCTCAAAAGCATGTTCTAGGGCATTGTGCTTCAGGTTCTCACACCTGCCTCTTGTGAGCTACAGCCACCCTTGAGATCATTTTCCAGAAATGTTTGAAATTCAGCAATGTCTGCCTTGACTTTGGCCCCAAAAGTGAGCGCCCTCATTCATGAACTGCACACCAGTGAACCCAGACAGCACAAAGATGCCAGCTGCAATCTCCCAGGCTTGGCTTAGACCTGCTTTTTCTTTGTCTCTGTCCCTATCCCACCAGAATTTTGACTCTGACCCTGACCCACATTTTGGTACCTCTCTCACAAGGTTATTGTGTAAATGAAATAAGATTTTATAAAAGGTGTAGGACTTCTTTTTTCAATCTCCTCTCTCCTGATTTCTCCTATTTACTTTGACTGGACTCATTCTTCATGTCTTAGCATTGCTTTGGCCTCTGGTAGGGACTCCCTGTCTTCACCTGGTATGCAGATGGCCAGCTGACCCTTCTCTCAAACCCATTCCCCTCTTCTTCGTAGGGGAGAAGCTGCCTAACTGGAGACCACATTTTCCAGCCTCCCTTGCAGCAAGGTGTGGCCATGTGATTAGTTCCTGCTGCTAGAATATGAGCGGAAGTGATGTGGGCATCTTTGGTGTCACCTGCTTACAAGGAAATTGCTTTCCCTTGGCTTCTTCTCTTTTTGCTTCTCACAAGTGGAGGCAGGCTTGTACCAGTGACCCAGCTTTGACCATGCAAAGGGGGAAACACCTTTGGGGCTGGCAGAGCTACAAGATGGAAGAAATGTGGGTCCTTGAGTGACACTGTAGAGCAGAGGTGTCCCACTCATCACATGAAAGAGAAATAAACTTGTATCTCATTAAAGTCATCATATTCTTAATCTCTTCATTACGGCAGCTTAGCCTTAGTGAAGGCACCATGGCTGGGTTCACGGGGACTTTGTTCCCTGAGACTCCCCAATATCTACTCACCTCATTGCCGGGGGTGAGAGGTGGAGGGGATGGCACAGATAAAGTCTCACTTTAAAGCAGATATTTACTTGAGAAGTTGGGTTTTATGTGGATTTTAATTTATATAATGATTTAACTTCTATGAAACATATAAGTGTTTTTTCCTTTGTCAGAAATTCTGCAATCTGTGTGATATGCCTTATATAATTTACTTTTAATTAGCATAACTGGGTAGAGGTATCATACAGTTCAACATCTCTTACTGGATATGTATTTCTCATTGTACACGTAGAAACAAAATAAACGAGTGAGTTTGGGGGTGTTTTATTATCAAAGATATATGTCATCACGATCAACTTTCTCATTTCTTTGTTAGGGACCAGATGATAAGCCGTTTAGTCATTTTCTAGGTTGACAAGAACTTAAGGGCAACTGAAAAAGGAGCTCTTATACCTGACTCAGCCTCACTGGTGCTGGCTCATCCTACCTTTGTGCCCTTTTGTCAGATGGCTACAACTTAGATTGTTTTTATTTATTTATTTATTTATTTATATTTATTTTTTTGAGACAGAGTCTCACTTTGTTGCCCAGGCTAGAGTGAGTGCCGTGGCACCAGCCTAGCTCACAGCAACCTCAGACTCCTGGGCTCAAGCAATCTTCCTGCCTCAGCCTCCCAAGTACCTGGGACTACAGACATGTGCCACTATTCCCGGCTAATTTTTTTCTAATTATATATTAGTTGGCCAATTATTTTCTTTCTATTTATAGTAGAGACAGGGTCTTACTCTTGCTCAGGCTGGTTTGGAACTCCTGACCTCCCAGAGTGCTAGGATTACAGGCGTGAGCCACCACACCCGGCCTAGATTGTTTTTAGATTCCAGGTTCAGTTACTTGAGTGGTTATGTATTATTCCTGGATAAACTAAGTTAGAAAGAACTATAATGGAAAGATCTGAAGGATAAATTTGTTCTGATGAGGCTGGGTGGCAGTGTCTTCCCCATTTGTCTATCACAGAACTTACTTCCCCGATTAGATTTGAATCCATTTTTCTAGCTGCATTGCTCAAGACAGCCAATGATTATATTGTAAAATAGAACAACAACAAAAAGAAGATGACAGAGAATTGAGAACTGTAAGGAGTGCCCACTCACCAGCTGTGTGAACTGTTGCTCCAGAGCTTGGTACTCCAGAGAGCTCTTGTTGAACAGGTCATCGGAGAAGGGCATGTTAGCAACACGCAGACTGAAGAACACTACCAGCTCTTGGCCCTTGGTGGCAATGGTCATGGAGCTAGTGGTGATGTACTGTCCAGCTGGGACAGGCGTGGTATCCTCCAAGGAATGATCTGGGGTAGAAACATATCCACTGAGTCCTGGTACATCAGACGAGGCAGGAGTGTCGGACAGATCCATTCCATCTAGGTCTCCGACCATATCTTGGCTGCCGATACTTGAGCTGCTGTCATCTGAAAATGCAGGTGGATGTGAAATTTCCAGGGTCAGTTGGCTGATGGTGGAATAATCAGTGGTGGGGATGGTGAGCCCTGGGATTAGTGCTGTCTGGCCAACGGGCCTTATGTCCGTGGGCACTTTGATCATGTTATGAGAATGGGAGAAGATGCTAGATGCAGTAAAGAAAGGTAGAGTTTCTGATGTAGGAGTAGAGGCCTTAGCAGGTGGGGACAAGAACTGTCTGTGGAGCGAGCTCCTGAGATCAATATTCTTGGTCCATAGTATTCCCCCAAATATTGAAGAATGAAAAAGGATAGGTCCAAGAAGTTGGAGTGGTTAACTTTAAAAAGAGTGTAGGCTTTGCATTGATTATTTCAATGGGTGCATATGTTTTATTTATTTTCTTTTTTTGTATGAGACAGAGTCTCGCTTGTGTTGCCAGCGCTTAGTGCTTTTGCCCGATCGGCGATCAAGCCTAGCTCACAGCAATTGTATGTTCTGTGTGTCTCTCTCGTTTCTGCTCTCCTTTAGGCTCCCGAGTAGCGGACACAGAGCATTGCGGCCCACCCAAGGCCCGGCTAATTTTTTCTAATAATATTTTTAGTTGGTCATATTAAGTTCTTCATATTTTTAGTAGGCGACGGCCCCCCCCGTCCCCTCGCTTCGGACTGGTTTTGAACTCCTGACCTCGAACAATCCGCCACTCAGGCCCTCCAGAGGCCAGGATTACAGGGTGAGCCACACGGCCCAGCCTCACATGGTCGGTCACTACTTAAAAGAAGACAATGTCGGTACAGAAAGGGGCAGACGGCCTGCGTCCACCAGGCAGACAAAACAAGGGGCCTCTGTCCCATTTTATTCAGACGCCCATGTACTTCATTATATTAATTGAGACTAAAGAGCACCTGTTATCTAGAATTCTGGAATTACTGCTCGTCGCACCAACACACCTGGAAACAAGGTGCTCAGACGTAAGTCAGCAGACTGGCTGCCCAAGATGACGCTGACAGCTGGGTTATTGAATGGGATTTAGACCCCGACGTCCCACGCTAGAACCTGCCTAGAATACTCTAGCCTGGCCGTTGTTTGACAGAAACTGTTTTCACCTTCATAACACACCCTGAATTTTAAGCATATTGAATTTTTTGGATTCAGTTATTATGTTTGTATCTTTACACTTATATATTTTTATATATGCATTTCCAAATGTTGAGTAATTTTATTTTGGGTCGATTCTTATCAACTTTGCGAATATAATCTTGTCAATTTGCAAAAACTGTACCTCGGAGTACTAAAGGTGTGGGTAGACATATATAATTCTGAACACTGCAGTTATAGGTGACTATACAACTTGCAGTATTTAATAATATTTAAAACCTTTGCCGGACTGTTACATTTGAATTATAGCCTGATTATATCTTTCCGCCACACTTTGGCATTGTTTCTGGGAGTAAGTACACTTGAACGTACTAAAGGTCCACTCTGTTTTTGGAGCAAGAGGATTAAAAAGTTCAAAGATTTTATAACATGAGAAGAAGTGGGTTATATGACTTTTCAGATGAAGCAGAGGATGATGGATTATTAAGAATCATTTAATACAACTCAAATCAGACCACTGATGGATATTAACGGCTTAGTGATCAACGGTAGGGGGGTCTGTGGATGACTTCATTGGCATTTTGGCAGAAACTATGTAGGAAAGCTGCGTGGTTGATCAAAGTGCTAAGCATGATAAATGGATGTCTGGATGCAGATACAAGTCTTTGGACTCTCATCACGCTAATTCTCACTACGTGAAATCTACCCAACCGAAATCTTCTCTCAATGTGAGTAAACAGCCTTTGAATGATGGGTGGATATCATGCATAGTTTTATACGCTTTCTTAAAATAAACACTGATTGTTGTGGTGTGTCATGCTCCGAGATTGTCAGGAACAAGCTATCTCTTTTCCTTTACACCTAGGGGAGCGGGGGAGCCTGATGTGTGTCTACCGCATAACTCACTAGCTCGATAATATTTCGCGTAAGCATCGCCAGAGTAGTCTCTTAGATGTACACTTACAGTCTTACTCAACCTTCCGTTACTATGGCTGGATATGATTCCAACCTCAAACATCTGTGAAGCGCCCTAACTCCACCGTATGGCATGGTATTTGGCGGCTCTTGAAGGGTTATAGTCTAGGTCCTTTGAGAGTGTGGTCTTGTGACTCGATGATTAGTCCTATGTTATATATGAGAGCCCAGTGAGAGACACCTGTCTCCTTTCTTGCCAGTATAAGCATGGCAACGAACCGGCCTACCTCCCACCTCTGCAGACGGAGGACGACCGCTTATCGAGAAATCAAATTCTGCCGGCTGCACCTGGTTGCCGATTCCTGCACAAGACGGTGAGAAATATGTTCTGTTGTTTAAGCCACCTGGCCTAGCTACTCGTCTCGCTACATGGCCGCCCTGGAGTCGCAACTAATATTGCCCTGACCACCACGCATCCGCTGCGGCATGAGCTCCAAATTCAACAAGCCTCTCAATGTCGCCCTTCCCTTCGACTTCTGATCTCTGATTCCATGGCATACACTGTCTTTGACCATCTGTCGTCCCCCTGCACTGTGGATCTCTGTCTCTCCCGCCTACCCAGCCTAACTAATGGTTGGGGAAATGTGTGAAGCGGAAGACAGTGATGGAGGTCTTCCTTTCTGCTCCTCGGGCCTAGCATTCATTCTCACGTCTCTTTGTTTCGCACCACTAGGACTTTACCCACTTAAAAGTAGGCTGCTGCCATTGATGTCAGCAATTCAGTCGATGTATCTCATGAAGTTCTTCGTTTTGACGGATCCTTAATATTAGTCTTCACATTCCCTCAATAAACCTACCAACTATTCAGCTGAGAACGTTGGCAATTTAAGGGTAGGTTGCTTGATGGACATCTACAGTATGCCCCATGGTGATACTTCTACTGAAAATTATTTTTTGTTTATCTGGAATCAATTGTCCCAGCTTATAGAACCCTAAGACATGCAGGTGTGTAGACTGATCTGTTTCTTTGCTGTGATGTTTTTCTTTGTCATATATATTGGGAGTGATTTTCTTGTGATTGTTATTGTTTGTCGTGTTCAGATTGTAGTGACCTATCAAGCAATTCTAGTGCCTCATACCAATACCATAGTGTAAAATTTTATATTTCACCTGGGAAAAATATCTCATGCAAGCAATCATTTTTTATTATTAGTCTATTGTGGTATCCTTATTATC